ATAACATAGAAGAAAACCTAGATGACCTTAGGTATGGTGATGACTTTTAGATACAACACCAAAGGCACAATCCATGACATAAATAATAAACACTCTGTTAAAAATAAAAACTTCTGCTCTGCAAAAGACACTGTTAAGAGTAAGAGAAGACAAGCCATTGACTGGGAGAAAATATTTACAAAAAAACACATCTGTTGATAAAGGACTGTTACCCAAACACACAAAACTCTTAAAACTCAACAGTAAGGAAACAACCTATGGAAAAATGATCCAAAGACCTTAATAGACGCCTCACCAGAGAAGACATACAGATGGCAAATAAGCATATAAAAAGATGCTCCACATCCCAGGTCCTCGGGGAGATGAACTCAGCTGCGCACCTACGAGAATGGCCACCATCCAGAACACGGACACCGGCAAGCGCTGGGGAGGACGTGGAGCGACTGGAGTGCTTGTTCACGGCTGCTGGGGAAGCAGGTGGGGCAGCCACCCTGGAAGGCAGTTTGGTGGTCTCTCACAAAACGAAATGTGCTAAACAACCCAGCAATCACATTCTTTGGTATTTACCCAAAGCAATTGAAAACATACGTCCACACAAAAACCTGCACACAGTTGTTTACAGAAAATTTGGAAGCAACCAAGATGTCCTTCAGTAAGTGAATAGATAAATAAATTGGTCCATCCAGTCATTGGAATATTATTCAACACTAAAAAGAAATGAGCTGTCAAGCCAAGAAAAGACATGGAAGAAACTTAAGTGCATTAAGTGAAGTGAATCTGGAAAGGTTATTGTATGATTACAACTCCATGACATTCTGGAAAACTATGGAGACAGTAGAAAGATCAGTGGTTGCCAGGGCTTGGGGGGTGAGGGAAGGATGAATAGGCAGAGCACAGAGGATTTTTAGGGCAGTGAAAATACTCTGTATGATATCATAATGATGGATATGTTATTATCCGTTTGTCCCAACTCATAAAATGTACAACACCAAGAATGAACCATAACTGAACTTTGGGTAATTACTATGTATCCATATAGTTCATCATTTCAAACAAAGCATACCACTCTGGTGGAGGATATTCATAATGGGGGAGGGTGTGCATGTGTTAGGACAGAGAGTGTATGGGAATTCTCTGTACCTTGCCTTCAGTTTTGCTGTGAACCTGAGACTGCTCTAAAATTATATATATATA